GGTCGCGCGGCCGAGGACCAGGGTTCGGAGGACGCAGAGTTAACTGCCCTCCTGTCGCCCCGAGTTTCATTTTGTTGATACGCAGCACGTCCGGGCCACGAACCGGGCTGAGCCGGTGCACATGACCCCGCGCTGGGCTCACGTGCAGCCGGCCAGGTCCCAGACACCTTCCGGGGGCCACCGCCTCCGCCCTGTCGCCCCCTCTCTAGGCTGGGTGCACGCGGGCGCTGCACGCGGGGGCAGCATGCTCAGCTCCCGAGTGCCGAGGCTGCACAAATTAAACACAGTTTTTTTGGAGGGGTGGGGGACACCCTTTCCAGGTGAGTATAGAGGGTGCGCAGCCCCGGCGCGGGGTGTGCTGGCTGGGTCGGCGGCAGCTCCCCCCTCCAGGGCTGCGCGGGAGTCCGGCGGGGGAGAAGCGCTGAGAGAGTGGAAATGTACCCGCGGCGGCCAGAGCCGCGGGTGCGCGCCCGCGGGGCGACGGCAGGGGGCGTGGCCCTTGTTTACCTTCTCCCAACTCAGCCGGTTCGCGTCCCGCTCCGGGGACGGTTCTGCAGTCCCCGGCTCTCCGCCTCCGCCCCTGCGCCCTGAGTGGTACCAGGAAGACATAGGCAAGTGGCGGCCCCAGCCTGGACTTACACACCAGACCCCCAAATGAGTGACACTGCAGCCCCCGCCCCCACCAAGCACCGCTGCAGTCCCTCTCCCGGTTCCCCGGCCCGGCCCCGCCCCCGGCAGTGGCATCTTCCCGGCCTCACCTCCTTCCTCTCTTCCTCCCTTCCTCCCTCTCTCCCTCCCTCCTTCCCACCCACTCGCCTGCGCCTGCAGAGCGGCTCCCTCCCGCCTCCTCCCCGCCAGTGTGCAGACTTGTGGCTCCCTCCGGTCCCTTCCCGCCTCTCCCTGGGCCCTGAGACACCCCCTTCTCCAGGCCAAGGGATGAGAGGGGGTCAGCTTGGCGATTAGTCGCTGTTTTGTCAGAAGATGGGGATGTCTGCAAGACAGGCAGGAAGGCTTCCCTCTACCTTTCAGAGGCCCAGGACACCCCCTCCCCCCCACACACACCCAGTTCCCCACCATATATACAACTGTCCACTCCCCAAGGGGCGCGGGGCCCTTACCCGCTTCACCTAAGCCCTCCCCGCAGCCCGGGTGTCCTGTGCACCTCCCGTCGCCGCCCCCCGCGTGAACCGCCTCTTGCCCTTCCTTCGCCTGGGCCAGAGCCCCCCGCAGCCACCTCCGGCTCCTCCTCCCGGCTCCCGCGGTCCGAATCACGCCGGCGCGCCTCCAGCCTGCGGTCCCGCGGACCGCCTCCAGGGGCAGACTGGAGGCGCGTGCCAGCCTCCCCACCACCCCCAACCTCCTAGCCTCTGCCACCCGCCGGGGCACTTGACTTTTTTTTTTAACCATCTTCACCGCAAGGCTCATGCCCAGGGCTGGTGGGGGCGGGAAGGGCCATGTTTCCCATTGCCCAGTGCCAAGGATACGCTGCACCTGGTCACTCTGGTCTGCAGATTTCCAAACCTTGCTGCTGCTCTTAGCACATCCCTCAACCCCCCTCCTCTGCAGGGTTCTGAGAGAAAGTTTCACCCAGAGGCTGAGTTTGCAGGGAGTCACCAGGAGGCATCAAGTTTGCACTTAGCATTGTCAAAGGGGATGGAGAGGGGGCTGAGTGGGCGTGCCTGACCTGCCATCTCACCTTTGTTGATAGGGCAGGAGCCCTGAGCTTTGAGCCCAGCCAAGCTGTCAGGAGGTCCCCTTAACGGTTCTGTTTGCAAACTGAGTCCTGGACCCTGGTGGTGGTAAGGCCACCTGGCCCCTCCTCCCAGGGTGGCATTAACTCCCTTCGCTGGTAAAATTCCTAGTAGGACATTTGGCAAAAGGGCCGACCAGGGAGCTGCCAACCAGGCCTGGCCCTGCTTCCTGGGTTCCCAGGGTGCTGGCTTCTCCCCTACTCTGACTTCCTCACTCACCTTAGGGCCCCAAGTGAAGTTACCATCCCTTCTGTCCCATCTTCCTGGGGCAGGTTGGGACTGGCAGAGCTATCTTACAAGCAGAGAAGGAAAATAACAACAGAATAACTGTAAGAGGAAGGAATGAGTAATAAAGCCGACCCAGGCAGGGAGGAGGGCTTTCATGTTTAAGAGTTGCTATTTGCTTTTTAGGTCACAGGCTGCAAAAACAGGCTTTGATCCGAAGTGGGCGAATAATTTATTGAGAAAGTTTGCATGGTAGAAAAAAAGGGATGTTTGTTTGATCTGGAGCCCTCTCAGTTGTCCCAAGTGCTGTTGGCTGTTGTTTAGAGTGGAAAAGCATTTGGTTCCACAGCAAATGCCTCGCAGGGGGAAGTCTTCGCCCCAGGCAGCAGGACTTGCAGTGAATGTTGGATTTGAAACTGTTTGGCCAAGGGTCTCCCCAGCACTTTTGGAGATGAAGTGTTTAAGGATAAAGTTGTTTGGGCTTGAGATGCAGCAAGTATTTCCAGCACATTTCCCATCCAACATGCTTTTCCTTTGCCTAACTTGCCTGGCTAAACAACCAGTAATACTGATTTAAGATGCTGTCATAAATCTCCACTTAGTTTTCATTGACAGGTGAAATGGGACTGCTGGTCCCCAGCCCCAGCTGTGCCCCAGAGTCAAGCTTAGGCCTTTGACACTGACTTCCACATCCTTGAAGTTGGGGGCAGGGTGTCCTGGTTAACTGGTGTTCCGGTTAACAGGGAGGTAGTTGTCTTATACCCAAGACTCAGTCAGAGGCTTCTAGTCCAAATTCTTCACAGTTCATCCAGCAGGCTCTTTGTGGGCTTTGCAATTCTCCCTATAGGTTCTCTAAGGGAAGGCCAGGTCAGAGTTGTGGCTTTCCTTGCCCTCTACCTAGGACCCTTACCATGTGGCTCAACCCAGGAAGGCTCTCAGTCAACTCCCAGGAATCTGGAGTACCCCAGCCACACTCAGGAGTTATAACCCTGAGTATTGTAGCCCATTGGGATGGGGTACACCATCCTGAATCAGACAGCTTAGGTTCGAATGATGGCTATGCAGTCACCAGTTACGACAGTTATTCTGTGACTCAGTTTCTTCATCTAAAAATAGGATTGATAACAGTACCTACCTCACGGTGGGTGCATGGATTAAGCAATATTGCATAAAGAAGACTAAACCCAAAGCCAGGCATGTGGTAAGCACTTGATTAGTATTAGTCATTCTTACTATTATTATTAATGACCTGGACAGGGTCCAAATGCAGCTTTGACCTTTGATCTCTCCCCTTTAGGGTAGGCTGAAGAGCCAACTCCCTTCTCTGAAGAAGGGATCAGAAGGACCCTGCAGTTGCCAATGGGCAGCCATCTGTGGGAGCAAGTGGACTGAGCTTTGCCCTCTCTGAGGTGGAGAGTAGGGTGAGAGGTGCTGAAGGACAAAGTAGACAAAGCCCCTTTCATTCTCCCAGGATCCCCTTGGTATGTCCCCAGAACTGGGTCTGGGGGGGGGTTGCGGGCAGCATGCTCTAGGGGAGCTGTGTGCACTCTGGGACACTTGGAATTGCAGGCAATGACCGGTGTCAAAGGAGTGTTCAGGCTTCCCTGTGCTTGGAGAAGTAAGTTTGAGGATCTGTGTGCAGAAAATCATTTTTGTAACGGCAATTACTGTCCCTGAGAAGGCATTAAAGTTAATGAGAGATAGGAAAGAGTGGGGCTCTGACCCCCGTTTAAAGCCATTTAAGAGTATGCAGTTCTTGTTTTCTGAATGTCTGGCCTTCCCGACACAAGGAGGCTCTGAGGACAGGTTTTCCAGCCGAAATATCATTAAATTGTATTAGCATCTTATTACACACACGCCTTAGTGGTCTGCCTCAGACAGGGAGAGTTTTTGTTTCTCTTTAAAAGATTGTGTCTGGAATGGTAAATTGCCTGCTTGAAAGCCTCCCCTACTCCCCCTTTTTTAAGGAGGAAGACGAAATCCTGCTGTGTGTGGTGGCGGTCAGGGCAGGCATGGTGGCCCCCAGAGAGGAGAGGCTGGAGGCCAGGTTGGGGTGTTTTAACTGCCCAGGGAGCGGCTGCAGTAGCCAGCCTGAAAGGCCCACTGTTCCCGGGGTCAGCTGGCAGGGCGTTAATGGAGGCCCAGGGTGTTTATTTGAGTTTATTTGCAGAGAGGTCTTTAAAGGGGGCTGGCACTGGGCATTGGTGTTTCAAGTCCAGACCCCAGGCCCCCACTAAGACCAGTGACTAGTGCTGCCAAGAAAACATCTGCCACCAAATTGCTGCCCTATTACTGAGTTGACATTGATCATAAGCCAGGAGCCCAACCAAATAAAGAGTCCTGGAAAATGTGTGAGGTTAAGATGGGGAAGAGGGCTGTGAAAACAGGACGAAATTTTGAGCTGGGGTGTTTGTTCCTGCAAACTACAGGCAGGCCAGCTGGGCTGTATGGTCCCCACACTTCAAGAGGGAGGGGACAGGAATACACTCGGCACTCTGCATGTACCAAGCCCCTATTATGTGCTGGGTGCTATGCGAGGAGGGCATTGGGGTTCCAGCAGGGATCCCGACAGGCTTACTCCCATGGAACATATGTTCTGGAGGAAAGACTGTTCAACAGGTAGATTAGCAAACACAAATTATGATGGATGCTCTGAAGACACAGTAATAGGGTGGTGAGCTTTCTTTAGGTAAGGCACCCTGCGTATACCTCTGTGACATTTAAGCTGAAACCTGAAAAATGAAAAGTCAGACATGCATAGGCTGCTTAGACCAATACAGGCAGAGGGCACAGGCTGTGTGCAGGTCTCAGATCATGGACTGTTAGGCTTGTTTCAGGAAATGAAAGGAGGCAGGTGTAGCTGGAGAGTGGTGGGGCCAGGCTAGTGGTTGATATGAACTTGTTGAGGTAGGCAGGGCCAGGTCATGTGGGGTCTTGTNAATGAAAGGAGGCAGGTGTAGCTGGAGAGTGGTGGGGCCAGGCTAGTGGTTGATATGAACTTGTTGAGGTAGGCAGGGCCAGGTCATGTGGGGTCAGGAGCTTGAGTTTTATCCTTTGGTCAGTAGGAAGCCTTTGAAAGATTTTAAATAGGGCATGACATGATTTAATTTATACTTTTTATTTTATTTTTAAATATGTTTTTATTGATTTTATTGATGTTTTATTTTTAAATATGTTTTTATTGAAGGGAGAGAGAGAGAGAGAAACATCAATCAGTTGCCTCCCATACGCACCCTGACTGGAAATCAAACCCGCAACCTGGGTGTGTGCCCTGACCAACAATCAAACCAGCAACCATTCAGTGCATGGGCAATGCCCAACCAACTGAGCCACGCCATCCAGAGCCTGATTTATACTTTTTAAAGGTCATTCTGACTGCTGTGTGGTACCTGGATTATGAGGGAGCAATAGTAGAAGCTGGGAGATAAATGAGGAATCCAGGCAAAGGATGGGATGGCTTGGACCCCTTTGGTAGCAGTAGAAATGGGGGGAAGGTGGGTGGGTTCATGGTGTGTTCTAGAGGGAGAGCCCACTAGACTTGCCAAGGGTTGGCTGTGGGGCAGACACACAGAGAGGCTGTGGCTGCCGCTCCATTGAGGCAACCCTATGACACCCACACTCCCAAAGGAGAGCTTCCTATCTGTCTCCATGCTGGGGACAGTGTGGGAGGTGCAAATGGAAGGAAAAGGGACCCTTTCATTCCTAGAGTCTCTTTTGTAGGTAGGGTTTCAGGAGCACTTTCCCCAAAAGAAAGTGCCTTGTGACACTGAGGCATTCTCTCAGAGCTGACCTTGCTTTGGGAGACTTTGGAGGTGCCGGTGGAGAGAGAAAACCCAGAGGCCAAGATCAAACCTCAGCACCCCCCAAACCCCACCTGTACTTGCAGTCTTGGACTTAAGCTTTGATGAAGGAATCCTCCCTCTCCTCCTTGCTGGGGTATTGAGGGGTTTTCATGGGGCAAAGGGCTGTCCCACAGGGGAGCCCAGGCCTCATCTGGAGCTTCATTAGCCACTGACATTGGAGGCTCACCTGAGGCATGGGAGCCTTTGCAACAGACTTGGTTCAAAGGAAAGAAGCTTCACTCACAAACTGTGGCTTTCCTCTGAAGCCTAGTTATTATTTCAATTAAGTCACCACAAAATCTGCTCCCTTAATAACACCCTGCCCAGGAGGACTCCAGGGTGTTTCACAGAGGGCAGGTTGGACGGGCAACTGGCTGAGGGTGGGGTGCAGATCTGCATACTGGCAGGCCCTGGGCAGCAGGGAACAGCATTCTGAGGGGTGTCGGCAGTCAGGGGTCCTGTTATAGAGGACCTTCCTTACTGTACAGGGTCACTGCTCCCTCTGAGGACACTGCTCCCTCAGGTGGGCACTGGAAGGAGGTCTCTCCACTGGGCCCAAGGCTGCCATGGTATTAATAACTCGAACCTAGACGGAGATCCAACCACTGTGCCAAGGGCTTTATGCTGCTCTCATATATTCTTACTAGCTGATTCTGGCCCACAGATGTGTTTAGTTTGGCCTTCTCACAGTGTTTTTAAAATTCTGAATCAGTTGCCAACATTTTCAGTTCAGGAGATTTATGTAAAAATGCAGACCTAGTTGTCTACCGTGGTCCCTGGTCTAGTGAGGGCTGTAGCTTTTACATTATGGGAGAGCCTGGCTTGGAAGTGCCCTGATGCTAGAAATGAAGAGAAATGCAATTCCGGGACAGCCCAGTGCAGGCAAAAACAGGTGGATGCATTTATAGCCCCTCTCCCTGACTCCTGCCGGACCATGACAGCGCTGGGTTGGCAAGGTGTAGGTTAGAGTCAGGGCCTTGTTTAAAGTTGCCCTCAGACCCCAGAGGACAGCAAAGATGGGCGGCTGCGGGAAGGTAGAGCATTATTGCCTCCTTGCACTATGCTGTGCCGAGGCAGGGAGGTCTAAAGGTCAAGAGTGTGGTCTCGATAGACTTCTTAAAAGCACTGCAATCCAGGGCAAGCCACTTAATCGCTTTGCTTTGTTTTCCTCACCTGGAAAAGGGAAGCAGCTGCCATGCCCACCTGTACCAAAGGTCTATTCTGAGGGCTTAGAAAGGTCCCTTTGTGCCATGGTGTCCCCCTTCCCTGCCACAATGAGTTGTTCCTGCCTCCCTGCCATCCATGCAGGTCATACCACCAGGCATCCTTCTGTACCTCCACACCCTCTGCAGAGCACTTGTGTGTACCTTCAGAGCTGGGCAGTAAGCAGCCCCAGTGAACCTTCCTGCCATCCTGATCATGCTGTTGGGGACACTAAGGTAGAGAGAAGCTCCTGGCTCTGGTCAAGTTCCAGGCAGGCGGGTCCTCCTGGTCAGCTCAGAGGACTAAGTAGTCACCCCTGCCTAATGCTCTCTGGTCTCTGCAGGGCCCCGGCAGGAGAAGGGGAACCCCAAGCCTGGCAAGGACAGATTGGGAGTGGTGGCAGATAACAGATAGGATCATAGGCAGGCAGGTTCAGGAGCCTGGTTCGCCTGCAGCTGGGCTGGGCAGCGGGGCTTTTTGCCCTGCTGACTCTGGCTCCTTGCCATTTGCTGTGGGTAGTGAGGGAGCCCAAGTTCCAGACTAAAAGGAGCAGGATGGAAAGTGCTCTGGGCCCCAAGCCCCAGATCTGTTGTCACATTAGGAAACAGCCACTAACTAACCTGCCCCTCCAGAGCAGGTTAACAAGCCACTCGGTGTGCTCCCCTCCAAGAGGGGACAAGAGCAGGCTCTGCCACCCAGGACTCTGCAGGATTAGAGGAAATAGTGGGTGGGAAAGCACTTCCAACAGGCAGGAGCTGAGGAGGGCACAAAGGCAGCACAGTGTGGGCTCAGGAATCAGGCCACAGGGGTTCAAATCCCAGTTCAGCCAGTTACTAGGCACTGAACCTCCCCAATAAATGAAGCAAGCAGCTCACAACTCACCAGGTTGTTAGGAAGTAGAGATAGCTGAGATGGTGTGGGTAGAGGAATGAGCTCAGCCTGGGCGAGCTGCCCTTCTTACCTTAAATACTGTAGTCACTATAAAGTTGGTTTGTACTTTTATCTGGAAAAAGACAGTGAAGGAGGAAGGGAGCCCAGCCCAGGACCAGTCACCCTGGGCCTGGTGTGTCTCAGGGACCCAGCTTGGAGCCTCCCTGCCTCCACCCCTATATCTGCACTCCTGACCGCCCCTCTCAGGATGTGTCCTCAGTGCAGGCTGGGCTTGCTTGTCCTTAAACTCAGATAGCATGGCCCTAGTACCCCCCCACCTTGCCACCCAGGGAGGCACCCGTTGCAACTTTTGCTTAGGAGTGGACTAATTCCCTGGTGAGCTTGAGTTTCCTTGAGTGGAAGCTGGGGCTGGGCCAGTCCTTTCCTCTTAGACGCCTGCTTCTCTGAGGCTCCAGGATCAGGAGAGGGGAGATGCAACCTGCTCTTCCCTCCCCCATCCCCTTCTTCCGCAGGGAGAGTGTGGGTGGGCAGGTTCCCCATGATTTTCTGCGGGACTGAGGATTTCCCAAGCCGTCAGTATGTGTAATGGGCTCTGCCTTTTGTTGCAGATGGAAGAGAAGCGGCGAAAATACTCCATCAGCAGCGACAACTCCGACACCACTGACAGTAAGGCCTTCTTCTCGGGGCTCCTCGGGGAAAACGTGTGGATACATTACAGGCCCACAGGCCCAGATGGGGAGAGCTGCCCGCGGTCTCAGTGCTGAGGAAGGCATGAATCAGATCAGCCTCTCTGCTCCTAAGAAAGTCCCCGCACTGCCCTGGCCCCAGGGCCTTGCCGTCCTCTGCACCCTACCCCCCTTTACCCCGTAGGGCTCAGCCCCACGTGTTTTGCTCTGGTTGGAACAGATCTGCTCCCCTCTGGGCCTTTGCATATGTAACCCCTGGCTACCAGGAACATATCCCTCTCCCTGTGGCTTTCCTGTTGAGTCAGGGCACTCACTATAGGAGGTCGCTACACATTCCATAGAAAATCAGTCACTATTATAATTACCTGATAAGTATTATTACCTAACAGCTGGTAAACTCCTTGATAAGAGGGGTCATGTCTTGCTCACTGCCTAATCCCCAGCTAGATCAAGCACATAATAGGTGTTCAGTAAATGTTTACCGAAGAAATGAATGCAGGAGTCTGACTTTCACGGGATCTCAGTAATAGAATCTCAGAGGTAGACTAGTATATGGGCTGGAGGTGCCATTTGGATGTCTGGAGGGTGGGGGGAACATTGTCAAGGAGAAGATAGGGCGTAGGGAGCCTCTTCTGAAATTTGGGGGAGGTGCATGTAAGATGAGACTTTTTCTCTAGTAGTAGAAGGCAGCTCTTCCTACTGCCCCAGGAACCTGGCCTGCTTGAGCTGGTTGGAGTAAGGAGTTGCATTCTGCCCTGTGTAGGGCAGACACACCGCCAGGATGCTCCCGCCTTGTGTATACTGGTGGAAGCCCAGGCTGAGGAAGAGGCTGCATTGCCAGGGAGGCTGGGCCTGGAGCCCTGCAACTCTAGACCTCAATTTGTTCACAAATGTGGTGAGCACCTCCAAGGCCCCTTAGAGTTCCCAGAGTTCCACACCTTCCCCCCAAGAGCCTGAGACAGATGCACTTGGTTGGTAGGTCTGGTCCCAGTCCTGTCGTCCTCGCCGCCCCCCAACCACCACCACTCCCGGCCCCATCCAGGTCTCATTCGCTGTCCTGTGGGGGTCTGTTGGTTCAGCTTGGCTCTGGTGTCTAACTTGGCCAGCCCTTCCTCCCTGTGGCAGGAGATCACAGCGTTCCGCCCTCTGTGGCTGCCTCCACACAGCCTGTGGCCTGGCTAAGTAGAGCCAAGGAGAACCGCATCCTCTACTTCTAACTTTATTGCGTGCAAAGGAACCCTTGAGGGCGGAGCACCTGCAAGGGTTGGGCTCCTGGGCAGCTGAGCCCTGTAGCTGCATCCAAATTGGGTCAGGCTGATGCATATTCCTTTCCTAGCAGCCCCTCCACTGCCCACCCATGGCTGCTGCTCCTTTGACTCGTAGGGATGGAGGCCACAGCTCTGTGGTCCAGCAAGGGCCTTAGACCCTCATAATAATAGCTAATGTTTATTGAGAAGATATAGGCATGATATCATCAAATTCTCACAACAACACTTTGCAGACAGCCTCTTGCCCCCATTTTATAGAAGGGCAAACTGAGGCTCTGAGAAATTTAGTTTTTTGCCCAGGATGACAAGCTAGTAAGTGGCTGAGCCAGGGCTCAAGCCTGGTCTGTGGGTCTACTTTAGAGCAGCACTCTTCCCACTGCTCTTCCCTGCCTCTGTCTACCCACTGGGTATCATACCAAGGAGGAAGCAGAGGACCAGAGAAGGCAAGGCACTTAACATGGGTCACACAGTAAGCTAATACTGAGTCCTGGTCACTGCCTTTTATTTCCCAAGCCCCTTCTGGTTGGTGAGTGGAAAGGATGTCATGTCCCCACTCATCATTGGAGAGGCCCTGAGCAGGGACAACCTACCAGGCACTCATAGAGGTGTCCACCTCCTAAACATTCAAGCCAGAGCTTTCCTCACAGGCTTCCTATCCTTGGGTGTGGGTGGGTGGGTGGTGTTCCTGATCTTCCGGAGACCCCCTAATGGTCTGTGTTCTCTCTGCAGGTCACACTACATCTGCCTCAAGATGCTCCAAACTGCCCAGCAGCACCAAGTCGGGCTGGCCCCGGCAGAACGAAAAGAAGCCCTCAGAGGTGGGTAGTGACCAGTGTGAAGGGTGAAGCAAAGTTGGGGAGGCTACCGGAGCAGAGACCTAGGGGGAGTGAGCTCTGCAGATGTGGGGGGGAAGCACTGTGGCAGAGAGCATTCCCGGCGAGGGCACAGCCGTGGCCACACTAGGCCAGTGTGGCTGAGGGGAATGAAGGCGGGGGATGCCAGTTCTCTTAGCCTTGTAGGTTATTGTAAAGATGTTTCTATTGACCTGAGTATCTGAGTGAGAGAAGAGGCCTTTCTAGGATCATAAGCAAGGTAATGATGTAGTCTGATGTTTTAATGAAAGGCCCCACTGGCTGCTGTGAGGAGAGGGGGTTGTCGGGTGAAAGGTTAAGGTTGGTGGTGCTGTGGGGCAGGCTAAGTAGCCACCTCAGACGGTGGATAAAGAAAAATTGAATTTTTTTTCAAGAAAAGGGGATGGGGCATGGGGATATCCAAAGGGAAGGGCTACACAGCACTGAGTCAAAGGGTATTGGGCCCATGATGGCAGCAGAATGTACTTGGGACAGTGAAACAAGGAAGGCGCATGAAAGAAGTAACAGGAGAGCCTAGGCTGGGCTGCTCTGGCTCCCTGGGAAGTCAGAGAGAAGGGGCCTTGGAGACAGGTTCAGGGGGTAAGCCCGGGACCAGCTGCCGCTGCCCATTGCTCCCCTGGTTGCAAGTCTCGTGGGGTCCCCTCAGAGGGAAGAAGAAGATGCCGCTGGCGTGCTCCCCTGGGGGGGAGAGTGCTGGGTCCTTTGTCCTGAGTTATTTATCTTTCTTGCAGGCTGGAATCTTAGGGGAGGTCTCAGGGGAGGGTCTCAATGGAATGTTCATCAGCTTTCCAGGTGTGCTCTGTCAGGGTCGTGGTCTCCCCTGATTGGTGGGTGCCAGGGCGTCATTCGTGAAGGCAGCCGGTCCTGAGGCAGCCATGCTGTCACTTGTCTGGTTTTGCTGCTTTTCTGGGCCTGGAGCTGAAATACAACTAAGGCCTAGATGTTATCTTTAGGGAGGAAGGCTCAGGGGGTCTAAACCGCATGACCAGTGATATGCTGGGGGAGGACAGGTTACCCTGGGGACAAGGTTCTTGTTTTCCCAGTTTCGCCCCTTGCTAGGCATCCGGAGCTTTCTGCCCTGGTGAGCCTCTGTACCTGGTCCATCATCCTTGCTCTGCTCATGTCTGCCTAATACCGGGGACACAGGTGGAACCAGGAAGGATTCTTTTGCAGTTGACCAGGAGATTAATGATGGTGGCTTAAGCCCGGCGGTGGCAGTGGAGTAAGAAGCGGTGGTATTCAAGACCCTTTGGCCGCTGAGCAAGGGTGACAGGATTGCTAATGTAGGGGTGAAAGATGGGTCCTCAGAGTCATCCAGTGACGTCATCTGCTCCTTATTCTGCCAGTTCACATGCATCTGCACTTTAAGCCTTCCTTACTTTCACCTGGGATGTTTCTTGTGGCAGTAGAGGTATTTGGCTTCTGGAGCTGTAGCAAGGAGCATTGGGGGCGGGTGAATTGTGTCCTAGGGCCTCATCGCTCCCTTCTAGGTCTTCAGCACTGACGAGGCCTTGGGCGCAGATGAGACTGCAAGAGCATTGCATCTCTGAGAAGGTGGGGTGGGGTGGGTTAGAGGGTTGAATATGGCCCTTAAGAGAGACATTGCCTGCAGCGTACAGAATGGCTGGACACTAGGCTGGACACTAGTTTTTTAATCCTTAAAAGTAGCCCAGAGTTCTCAGTCCTGTTATAATAAGGAAACAGGATCCCAAAGTTATGTAGGCAAGGTCTGAAGGTTTGGGAGCTACCAGTGCCCAGGGTAGGAAGGCCCGGAGTTCTGGGGCTGAGCCCTAGGCTTGGGGTGGGGGAAGGTATCTGTGTACTGAGCCTGGGGCCCTCCTCTCCCCACCCTCACCACCGGGGCAATCTTGGCAATCTTGGCTGCGGAGCAGCTGTCTGTAGCCAGCCCCTAGGGGGGTCTTTCCCAGAACCTTGCATTTGAAAAAGGACTTCCTGCCTCCTCCAGGAGCTGGCTGACCCGAGGACTCTCCCTTTGTGGGGAGTGGGGAGCCTTTGAGAATTGATGCCTCCCACCCTCATCCCCAACCAATTGTCCTCCCTTGGCCCCATGGAGGAGGGGTGGAGATGGAAGGAGATATCTTCAGGAATGCAGTTAGGACTGGAAGGAAAGCCTGCATGGGAGGATCCTGTTCTGGAGGCTCTTTGTGCCCTCCTGGACTAGCTCTGGTCAGTGGGGGGTGGGATGTGCCCAGGTACACTGGGAAGTAGGAGGCAAAGTGCTAGGGCCCTGGAGCCCCTGGGACCACTCCTCAACTCCACTATCCCCCCTTTCCTGTCCTGTCCTGTCCCCACCTGGGCATCTTGAGACAAGCTAGGGCTCCTCCATTGCTATGGTTGAATTAGTAAAACAATAGCCATCTTTCTGTGCCTTTGGGGTCCTGGGAGGCAGCAATTGTCAAGCCCATTTTGGAGGAGAGGACCCTGCCCCCCCTTTCCTGGTTGGAGAAACGTGGAGATGGGGGAGCTCCTGAGGGTGGCTGCTCCCTCCTCCCTCCAAGCACCAGTAGGAGGAGGGGCCAGCTCTCAGGGCAGAGATCCCAGGGGCTGGGCTGCCATCCACACCCAGGATAGGCTGGCCAGGCTGGTGGCTGGGAGGAAACAAGTGTCAACAAAGGCCAAGGAGAAAATTATTTGCATGGGACTGAAAATTCCCCTGCCTCTTGGGCTTTCCAGCTCAGAGCCTTTGAACCTTTCCCCACCTAAAAATAGAGTCAAGCTATTGTGAGGGTGTTGGTGCCTGGCCCTGCTGGGATGGGCTACACGTGGCCCTGGGTTCCCCCGGGGGGCTGTGCTGCCTGACGGCAGACACCCGCCCTCAAGTCCTGGGCTCCAGGAGAGCTGAGGAAGTCTTCCCCGCCTTGAACTGGGGCCAAGGACAAGCTTTTCCTCCCACAGCAGGCTGGAGAGCAGCCTGTGAGGTTTCCCTCGTCCCCTAAGTGAGGAGGCTGAGCCATAGCCACCATAAATTCCAAGCTATCTCGGGGCAGAAAGGAAACCGTCAATGAAATCCTCCAAATTATTTGGCTCATGAGAAGGCGGAGATGAAAGCGAGGATTTGGCGGCACAGAGCGTTTGCACTAAATCTCGCTGGGCTGTTCCCTTCTCTTTCTGTGAATGGTGGGGCCTTTCTCGTCTGCTGGGCCTAGGGGCCCAGGACTTTGGACCCCCTGATGAGAGGGGATCCAGGAGCCCCATCTGCTCTGTCACCCAGACTAAGAAGCCTGTGGGGTGGTTGTCAGGCTGATCACAGAGTCTGCTCCCAGTCTGGCCCAAGTTCCCAGCCAAAATGTTTGCAAATTGATGTGTTGGTGCAGGAGCCCCCTCCCTGGTGATACATGGTTCACTTCCTCTGCTTATCTGTGAATGTCGACAGTGGTGGGGTGGGGTGTTTTGAGGACCAGGAGTACCACTAGCCCATAGTGAAGCCAACAGCTGTAGAAAGGCCTGGGGTTGGGTTTAGGTGAGAACTGAGGGGCTGCCCCTGGGATGACCTGCCGGGACCCGCCCTTCTCAGTGCACCATGAGGGTGCAAATCAAGGGTTGCCCTCTACACAGAGTGAGGTACCCCAGGGCTGAAAAAGTGCTGGGACCAAGAGTCAGGACCCTGGACAGAGCCAAGGCCTTGAGGCCCAGATTCTCATCCACCCTTAACCAGTGGGTGGCCTTCCTCCCCCAGAATGAAGGGGTGAGGGGAGCGCAGGCCTTAGTCCTGGGGTGGGCCTGGTCCCAAGGGCACGGGTTGCTGCCTGCACTGTCCCAGCAAAGCTGACGTCTGTCACTTGGGGCTTAAGTCAACCAGACCAGGCCTGAAGGAGAAGAGGGATTAGCCTGGCCTGGGGAGGTGGTGTTAGTGTATACATTGTGCTCAGGCCTTGGTTTTCTGGCTGGCCTGTCTTGCCAAACGGCATCATCATTATTGGTGCTTAACACTTTGTGGGTCATATCTCTTTGAATCTGATGGAGAACACAGACCACCCCAATCCTACCTCGCTCCCTGGAATTGTGACTTAAATGGTCTGGAGTGGGGCCTCAGGTACCTGTACTTTTTAAAAGCTTTTCCCCCTGGAAGCCAAGGTTAAAAACTACTACCATAGACCTTTCTCCTAAATGTGCTAAGTAAGACAGGAGTTTCTGGCTTGGGCCTCCCCGGAAGATCCTGAGGTTGCATGGGGGAGGGGAGGTTTTCTAGCCTGAATCAGTGACCTAAGAAAAGGCAGAGAGTGCGGGTGGGGCGGTCACCCAGCTCACCCCCACCCTGCAGGGTGGCTAGGGGACTAACAGGTTTCTGCCAAGCCCTCCGCCTGGCAGGGCAGTTCAAGAAGAGATCTGGAGGCTGCTGTTTCAGGCTGTGTCTTCCTCTGGCTGGGGCAGAGAGGCAGGTGGGAGGGCAGGCCACATGGTGGGGGTTTCCCCCAGGCAGGCTGTCTTGAAGTAGAAAGCTGTTTTTAGGAAGTCGGAGTCCCCAGAACTCAACCAGTGGGCTGGGACATGGATCTTCAGGACCCAAGAGCTACTGGTACTGATTAAACTCAGCAAGCACTCAAGAGCGCCTAACAGACCCCACCTGGTGCTAGAGGGACAAAAAATGCAGACTCTTTCCCCAGGGAGCTTGTCCTCTGGCTGTCAGCAGGATGCAGGTGCTACACAGGAAAGTGTCCGTTATGAGAGGTGCAGCCAGCTTTGCCACTGAGGAACTCTGTGACCCTGGGCAAGTGACTGTTTCTCTCTGAGCCTCACAGTCATCATCTGTAGAGCCCTACCCTGCACCCTGCCATAGAGTTTCTGTTCTGTAGATGTGATTGTCCTTTCCCGAGGCCTGTGGAGCCTGGGAGTGGGGGTGATCCCAGAGTGAGTAGAGGTGACACTGGCCTCCCTGGGACAGAAGCCTGGATGGTCCCAAACAGGATGGGTGGAATTCGGGATCC